TTGACAATCAGATGAAAATATCACACAACACCATAGACTGCGCAACACCAATGATATGCACAACTGAGCCTGCGCAGACCGTGAAAAACAACAGTAAACGGGATAAGACTTTTACATGCCACAGTATCCTGTCTAAGATCAGTATATCCCAGGCATCTTATCCTGGTTTCACATAACCGGGATTCAAGATTTTTCGGGTTATTGTAAACGGGATATGATGTTTATATGTGTCAACTCAAAAACAGAATACTTTAGTATCCCAAATAATAATGTGATATTGGTGCACATGTAAACGTGCTCAATTATGACCTCTGTAATGGGCAGTGAGGCAGCTGTATAGTTGCTTTTGCTTCAGCTTCCATTTCTTAAATGGGGCTGTGCAGTTAAAAACGTGAATTTCCTTTTTTTTAATGATATTTCCACACAGAGGTCGAAATAACACCGAAAATGTGAAAATTATGATAATGCCCTTTTTGTTTGTTTGAAAAAAATATCTAGAATTTCAGCCTGATCAGGTGGGATGGAACTTTTGGGCCACATCATGCGGTCACAATGTTATCTAATAGAGCAATGACTGTTCATCTGAGTAAGGGGGTGGGCTCTCAACCATCCTATCAGCCAATCTGGGCTGTGTATGTAAATATCTTCAAATGTGTTTCCTAACGCCCACAAGGTCAGCCAGAATTTCAAGGGCCAAAGGCTCAGGGAAATAAATGATCAGGGAAATAAATGATCAAAAATATATTTGAGTTATTTTCATTAAATAAACAGTGATTTATTAGACATACAGTGATGATTTAACAATAAAATTATAAAGACTGCATGGGGGGCTTTAAGTCCAGGTCTTGAAGGTCCACACCGCAGCGCTTCAGATTTTTTGTTCTAGCACAGCACTAACAAAAACACGATTTCCCTGTGTATTATATATATTTCCACACTATGAGGTTGGAAAAATACTGTGAAATTGTGAAAATGATAACGCCCTTTTAGTTTAAGAGCTGTTTGAAAAGAACACCTGAAATTTTGGCCTGTTTTGGTGGGATGGAGTTCCAAACCGCTCTGCCAATAACAGCTCGTTTCAGTTTTCCCCTCCCCACTCAGACCACTCCCAGACAGTCCTAGCAAAAACATTTTGCTTGAGAAATTGCTCTTAGCTAAGAAACTATTTGTATTTTTGACCATTTTCATTTAAAACAATCACAGTAAGGTACTAACTTGTTACCCTGAACTGATTTGATATTGAGATAAAAAAAAAGGCTGCATTGAACCTTTAACTAATCACAAAAGCCTGTGATTAGTTGATTCAGGTGTTAGGGCAGGGCTAGAACATAAATATGCAACTCCAGATGGTACCCCAGGATTGGAGTTGAGAAACACTGCTCTATAGGAATCAGACTAGTCAACATGCATGTCTTCTTATTGGCTGGTATGTTGTTGCAGTGACCAGACACCTATCCTGATAGGCTCTGAGGAGAGGTGGTCTGATTAAGGCATTACATGGTAAGGCCAGAAGAGGGAGCAGTAGCATCTAAGTCAATGGGGGAGCTAAGTCTGTTCTCCTTCTCCCAGATTCTGTATACAGACAGACTGGAGGTAGAAGCTGCTCCGAAGTACACATCTGGGATCAGTTTATTCTATCCCAATCCTAGCCTTAAACATTAGAGGTAAAAAAGCTAAACTGACCTTAGATCAGCATTTAGAAGCAACTTTTCCTTAATCCACACAGACAAAGAAACAAATCTAAGTGTTTGTGGATAACAGGGACCAGTTTAGGGGTACGTGCAATGTTACCAAAAGGAATGCAAAATGCAACTCGTAACTGATCTATTGGCGATATATTGTCTCCCCCAAAAATGTAGAATAGATCAAGGCCTAAAGTTGAAAAGGAGCGAGTGGGTTACAAGCAATGATGTGCATTTGTTATAATGAACAGTGCATCAAACACAGGGATCTAGAATACAAATTATTTTCAGAATTCAATCCCAATCTGGTAACATAATAGGTCCCCTGTCCACACACATCCCTTTGGTCACTCACCAACTGCTGTCTTACATTTTTCTTGCTTATCCTTCTAATTAGCACTTTTAGTTGTTTTTAATAACAATATGGAGGCACCAGGCAAATGTAGTGACTTACTTTTTTTTCTGGCAGGGATTCATTAGGAAAGTGCTTGTCTTTCGCTGTTCCCTCCTTTTCTACCTTTTCTTTCTGCTTTGACTACTTATGCCCAACCCCAAATAAACCCGCAGACCCTTCTTAATGGCCCCTTATAGATGTGAAAGAACTGGATGTGTGTTGAGCAATGTGGTGGACACTTCACCTAGCCAACCAGAAGAAAAGGTGGGACTATTAACATATTGCTTACACCTGTCACATCTCTGCAGATCTATGAGGGGCCATGAAGAGGTGTCTAGGTTTGGAGCAAGATGTTACTTTAGGACTTTGTAGTATTATTTATAATGGCCGATTCTTTGCCAGACCAGCCCAAAAATATTTTGGGTAACTCGGATTGCAATTCTCTCACAGAAACTTCATTGGAAGGAAGGATGTTTGACATGCTTTTTACATTTGTATCACATTTTGTTTTTTTTGAAAATCATGATGAAAGTGGCCATTTTAGGCCCTTTTTAGACCTATACATGCCTCCTGTAAGACCCTATGATCCATGCACAATACATGATACAGACAACATCTTGGTGTCATTATACTCCTTATAGTGTGCTCTCAAATATGGAGTATGTCTAGATTCTGCAATACAATTTTAGATTAATCTCATTTTAGGACATTGTTTGAAACAATATACTCAACATGTATATCACATTTCCAGAGTGGGCTCTCCGCAAATGTTTAAGTTATGATACATTTGATAAGCACCACCAACAATGGGAAAATTGATTCAAAGGGAACTCCCTCTGCTGGTGATTTGCTGAATGTGCAATCCTAAAGGAGGGATGTGATTGGTTAATGACCTATAATGTAAATTTCTATATATAAAATGTGTCATACTGTATCTTCAAAAGTACCAGAGAGCCACTTTCATTATGAAAAATATATATATATATATATTGGTGATACAAATGTAAAAAGCATGTCAAACATTCTTCCTTCCAATGAAGTTTCTATGTGAGAATTGCAAGAACAATGTGATACTCCCAAAATATTTTCAGGCTGTCCTGGCGTGGAATCGCCCTAATATCTCCTACAATTCCAAGACAGTCAAACAGGGCTAAGAGTGGGAGGGGCTTGGTGGCATATGAATCAATTAACCATTAGGGCACATTCATACATCCACACATATGTACAGACATAAATATGCATGAACAAAAAGCAAACAATCAGGGACAGCTTAAGACCTCATTTTACTGGGGATGTGAGAGGGTTTGGTGAATGGGGAGAGAGAAAGAGAGCGGGAGAGAGAGACGCAAGACAGAAAAAAAGATGTGGGGTCTATAGGCTGCTAGACTGGTCTCCTTACTCCCTCAAAGAGAGGGAGGGAGGGAGATTTGACTGATCGCCGCTTGAGCAAAAGAAAAGGAAAAAAACGAGAGGAAGATTAAGAGATGTCCTCGGGTGTCCTCTGGTATCCAGAGGGAGGGTCAAAGGTCAAATTCAGTAATTTATTCATTCAGCCACCGAGAGGGAAAGAAAAGAAAGGTCTCTGTGGCGAAGGTCATTCAGTAGGTCCAGGTCATTAAGAATCGCATATCTCTCGTAAGAAAAAGTATCTCTCCCAACTACAACCGGAAATGTCCCTTAATTCGTTTCCTTAAAACAAAACCCGCTCAGCGACACCGGACAACGTAGCAGGAGCTCATTTCTGCCGTGGAGTGTTCTTCTTCCGTTTTCTCTTGAAGAAGCAACAGCACCTGAGGAGAAAGGAATGTGAAGAGGGAGAAAAGGAAGGATAGTTACTTGGCAATCTACACTGAGTATACCAAACATTAGGAACACCTAAGGAATTGAGGCTGTGCCCTCAGAACAGCCTCAATTCGTCAGGGCATGAACTACAAGGTGTCAAAAGCGTTCCATAGGGATGCTGGCCCATGTTGACTCTAATGCTTCCCACAGTTGTGTCAAGTTGGCTGGATATCCTTTGGGTGGTGGACCATTCTTGATACACATGGAAAACAGTTGAGCATGAAAAACCCAGCAGCGTTGCAGTTCTTGAAACAAACCGGTGTGCCTGGCACCTACTACCATACCCCGTTCAAAGGCACTTACTGTAAATATTTAGTCTTGCCCATTCACCCTCTGAATGGCACACATACACAATCCATGTCTCAATTGTCTCAAGGCTTTAAAATCATTCTTTAACCTTCATCTACAGTACACTATTTGAAGTGGATTTAACAAGTGACATCAATAAGGGATCATAGCTTTCACCTGGATTCACTTGGTCAGTCTGCCATGTTTGGTATACTCAGTGTATATCTCTCACTACTATCCCTTAGACTCATGTTGCACTCAACTCACAACTTAAAAGATTCAAATGTCAGCTTGTAAACAAACCCAACAGTGACACGTATGGGTTAAAGAGGTAATAAAGAATGGACGTTGAACATTTAACAGTTATAAGAATGAGTGTGACGGTGAGGAAGAGAGCAAGCATTCAATGGGGAGGGAATACACCCAGACTCTGTATGCTACCCAGCTGGCACAAAACACTAAACATTTCTGTAATGTTCTGCAATTAGATTGTACAACGACGCAAGTTGAGAACTGTAGAGTCAACGTTGTAGATCTTTGCGAGCCCTATAGGAACGCCATTCGCAAATCCGTTCTTGATGGATACAAAATCTTTGTGTGGCCCTGGCCTTTGTCTTTCCTGTTCACTTGACAAACTCTCAAAAGCTTTACCTTTGAGCTACATAATCATACTTCAGCTCCTCTCAGTAGTGTGAAAAGGATGTTAATCACTCCATGTGAGAAGCCTAAAACCCAATATGAAAGTAACATAGTTATTTGTTTAATGGAAGGGGTGAAGCCAAGAATTGGTATTAGTTTAGTGCTAGTCTAGTCCACTCCCTTTTGAATGGCTGATGTGCATGGGAGCGGGGACTCACCACAGGTTGAGCATTTTCACGCAGCTACAAAGAGTGTGAGGAGAAAAGACATATTAATAATGTACAGAGAGAGAAAGAGAGGGACAACGACTAAGATAGTCCTTGTGCAATGTACAACTGCACGCACGCACATACACACAGGTAAGAGACAAAACCGTGGCTGGGCAGTGGAGGAAAGGACAATCATTGCAGTTCATGCAAGGGAAACAATCAAAACAAAGAGACAAATGTGAATGAGAGACAGAGCACCTATATTATACAATGTAAACTCAACTGTCAACTGATTTTTAGGAATAGAGAATAATCAGAATAGGTAACATATGTAAATCTACTATATGACATTGAATGTGAAAAAAAGTCACCTGTTTAGTTAGGTATACGGTACTTATTAACTATTTTGAAATGATGATTGAACAGCTTCTTACTAAACAAGGATGGGGATTTTGATTTTGTTATTTTTTGTTTTAGCTAGTTGGTATATTTTCAGAACATTTTAATAAGATAATTTAGATCACCTTAATAACTTTGCAATTTAACTTTGTAATTAAAACTGTAACTGAACCAAATTTGGATTTGTTGCAGATTATCAGTTTGTCAGGAGATCCCCATCAAAACCCCATCCGGTCCCAACAGGTTCCATCCACAAGAGACAACTTGGTTGGACATGATTTGATCCTGACTCAAGCAGTTTGATTTATTGGATCTAATCCTCTTTTACTGAGCTTCAAACTTGTTGGGATTGGACAGTCAGTCAATCTCATGGATTGAGCAAGAGTCGTGGTAAAGAAATTACCCCAAATACCACTTGCTGTCATAAATTGTCTTCCAATACAACTAACAACAAAGTGCTACTGAAAGAGTCCCCTGTAGCTCAGTTGGTAGAGCATGGCGCTTGCAACGCCAGGGTTGTGGGTTCATTTCCCACGGGGGGCCAGTATGAAAATGTATGCACTCACTAACTGTAAGTCGCTCTGGATAAGAGCGTCTGCTAAATGACTAAAATGTAAATGTAAAATGAAAGAGACCAATGACCAAGCGAGAGATGGGGAGAGGGAGAGAGAGAGAGTGAGAGAGCGAGAACGCGAGAGCGAGAGAGAGAGAGAGAGAGAGAGAGAGCTAGCTGCAACAGAAGACGAAGCGCCATATACATACTTGGCCTCTTCCACCACCTCCACCTCGGCCTGCACTGCGATAGGTGCGTTGGAATGGGCCGTCATTGGGTCGTCTGCGTTCAGCTCCCCATTGGTGGAGGTTACCACCTGAGGCACATGAGGAAAAACGATATATCAGTCAAGCCAAAATAAGGATCATTCTGCTAGGAGGATTAAAACGGAAAAATACCCAATGACAACATTGACAACTCCATCATAAGGTCAACCAAACACTGTCATGATCATAATATAGCCCAAAGTGCCATAATTACATTATATATTTTTTTACATTTTAGTCATTTAGCAGACACTCTTATCCAGAGCGACTTACAGGAGCAATTAGGGTTAAGTGCCTTGCTCAAGGGCACAGATAGATTTTTCACTTAGTCGGCTACGGGATTCAAACCAGCGACCTTTCGATTAATGGTCCAACGCTCTTAACCGTTAGGCTACCTGCCGCATCTTGTGACAACTGACTTAACACTGTCACAACATATAACTGTTACTTACATTTGTATGCTAGCTCGCAGTAGGCCTAGCCAACTATCTTAACAACAACAAATAGTGTCAAGTTAGCATAAAGCCAGTTGTCATAAGCTGTTATGATGACATCAGCTGTAATGAATGCTTATGGCATCTCGCCTGCTCGGTCACACACGACAGTAGTATGTAGGCCCTCACAACAGAAACATCAACTAAAGTGAAGTTACCAATCTCCCTCCATACAGCTTAGCCATTTCCAGACATCCATGTGTGGTGCCATTTATCCGGCTTATTAGCCTTTACCGCTACCCCTTTACTACCGGTTTCCCTTATTGGGAAAGGTTCTTGATCGAGTGTGAGTGAACGTGCTTGTCTGATGGGCCTTGTGAACCTGTCTCTCCCTGTCTGCCTCCTCCAGAGTGCATGCTTGATGCTGTGTATGAGCTGCTCTCCTCTCTTGCTGCTAAACACAGAAACACAACATGATGAACAGCCTCCGCTGTTGATCATCATAACAGCCTCTGCTGTTCAACATGTGGAACAGCGTCACATATACAGCACAACATATTTTATCTTAAGGGCAAAGAACAGGTGGTGCAAGCAACGTGGCAATGGCCCCACCTAGCGATTCAACTGCTTTCATCTACTCTGTCCCTTTGGATCTGTGGGCTAGAGGGCTATCAAGGACATAGGAATGAAGCAGGTTTTCTGTTTTGAAAGCCAGCCAGTGTACAGGTAGTTAGCATTCGAGTCTCTCCGTGGTTGGTTGGTGTATACCTGCACAGAGCCCCCATGCCTGTCTGCGGCCAGGTGGGAGCTGCTCAGGTAGGAGGAATTTGTCTGCCGGTGGGGCTGTGCATCCCATGCTCCTCTGCGGTCTGATGCAGCCATCTGGTTGGTTGATTGTGGAGGCGGATGGGCGGAGGGAGACGTGGGTGGGCCGAGAGTGAGCGAGAGAGGAAGGCGCCGAGAGGCGATGCAGCGCAGAAAAACAAAACAAAGAAAAGCAGAGGTGAGACGTGTGGCAAAGCCGTGAATACGTGTAAGTAATTGAGAACAACCAGATCAAAACAAAAAAGTAAGCCGTGTCAAGGAAAAAAACAATAGCTTTAAAATTAGATACATTTGTGTATTTAAAGCAAAATGTTTTTAGCCAGTTAAGAGAAACCCTGTATGCATGTTTGACATCTTCATCTTTTTTGTATTTCCTTATTTTATAACCCTGGTGTCTTCCCTAAGAGACCTGCGTTGTTTCTTTGTCCTGAATCCTGGCTATATTGATTGAGAAGTCTGGGCCAGGCAGGATCTGCTTGGTCCCCCTGTAATTCTTTCATCACCGTTCCCCTGGACAGGACAGGTTGTACGTGACAGGACATTGAGGGATTAGCTGCTAATAGAGTTGTGGCAGGAGTTTTGGCAGGTGACTTATGCAGTCTGGGAGCTTTCAACCGGAAAACACTGAGTTAATTTCATACTGGCTGGCATCTCCTGTCTCGCAGGTCTGAAGCCCTGGCTCAATAAAACGACTTGTGCCTGGAGAGACTGATGGGGTGATATAAGTTGACCTCCTCAAAACCAAGGACGTTTCCTTCTCTCCCTCTCATTTCTCTCCTCTTTTCTCCCTCTCTCCTTCAAGTCCACTCTGCCTTCTTCACCTTCCATCTCTTTCCGCTTACTCCCTTCTTTCTCCACCTAAATCCCCCCTCCATATCAATTGCTTCTCGCACTCTCTCTGTCTCTCCATCTCACAATCTCTTTCTGGCACATACTGTAGCACCAATGGTGGCACAGGTGGAGCACTGATTAGAGATTAGTCTGGGACTCCTGGGCGCAACGCAACACACTCACGCAACGCAGTCATAGGACAATCAAGTATCACCACTCAAGCTGCAGCCAATCAGATTTGAGACAAGCTTCCCTGCCTGTCGGGAGCTAAGCTAGAGGACTTCCAGTGGAGAAATTCATTTTGCGGCTCTTCATGCCTCTCCGGTCGAACACAGTCAGGCAGAGGCGGATATGGACAAGATATTTTGGTGCCAACAGCAACTCATCTGAAATATCAGCTGAGACTACATGCTAGGAGCCCTATTTTTTACCTGAAAGCTCCTTTGCTTCTGTCTTTTTCCAAAAGCGAATATGCAGAAAACTATGATTTTTGCCAAATAGCACAAATCCAAACAATGTTTTTTTTTAAAGGAAGGCTTGAAATGTGTGGAGCATAAGCAGAGCCATCAAGTTGGAAAATAACTATGTTCTACTACTTGTACTAATTTAAATGGTGGTGGATGTACTGTAGTGTAAACTATTAAGCTTGTTGAGATCAAATGTGATGTATTTAGACAATCCTAAAACCATAATCATGCAACTCTATAGCATTGACACTAACCTTTAACAGCTTTGCAGCTCACTCTATGTCAATTATACAATTACACTCCCCTCTGTATGTATTTGGACAGTGAAGCTAAAACTTTTAATTTGTCACTATACTCCAGCATTATGGATTTGAGATAAAATGTTTTATGAGGCGACAGTACAGAATGTCACCTTTTAAACGGTAAAACAGATGTATGAAAATACCCTAAAATAAAAGGTGACATTCTATGCTTGTTGCCTCATATGAAACATTTGATCTCAAAACCAAAATGCTTGAGTATAGAGCCAAATTGAAAGTTTTGACTTCACTGTCCAAATAATACGGAGGGGAGTGTATATGGTGTTCAAGCAAGCAATGCTTATCGATTGTCCGTGTGTGGCTGGCAGGGTTATGCTAAATACGGCTGCTACAATCTTGACTAGAACCAAAACATTTGATCATATTACTCCAGTGCTAGTGGCTTCCTGTTAAGGCTAGGGCTGATTTCAAGATTTTACTGCTAACCTACAAAGCATTACATTGACTTGCTACTACCTTTCTTGCCGATTTCATCCTGCCGTACATACCTACACGCACGCTACGGTCACAAGACGTAGGCCTCATTATTGTTCCTAGAGCAAACAGCTGGAGGCAGGGCTTTCTCATATACAGCAAAACATTTTATGGAATGGTCTGCCGATCCATGTGAGAGACGCAGACTCAGTCTCAACCTTTAAGTCTTTACTGAAGACTCATCTTTTCAGTAGGTCCTATGATTGCATATAGTCTGGGGTGCGAAGGTGAACGGCAAGGCACTGGAGTGACGAACCACCCTTGCTGTCTCCCCTCTCTCCACTGGGATTCTCTATCTCTGACCCTATGACGGAGGCTAAGTCACTGGCTTGCTCACATCCTTCCTGTACTCAGGATCGTGTGGTGGGGGAGATCTTCGTGGGCTATACTCAGCCTTGTCTCAGGGTAGTAAGTTAGTGGTCTATTGATATCCCTTTACTGGTGTGCGGGCTGTGCTTTGGCAAAGTGGTTGGGGTTACATCCTGCCTGGTTGGCCCTGTCCGGGGGTAACTTTGGACGGGGCCACAGTGTTCCCCGACCCCTCCTGTCTCAGTCTCCAGTATCTATGCTGCAATAGTCTATGTGCCGGGGGGCTAGGGTCAGTCTGTCCTGTCTGATATAATTCTCCTGTTATCTGGTGTCCTGTGTGATCTTAGGTTACCTCTCTCCCTCCCTCCCTCCCTCTCTGAGGACCTGAGCCCTAGGACCATGCCTCAGGACTACCTGGCCTGACGACTCCTGACTGTCCCCGTTCCACCTGGTCGTGCTGCTGATCTAGTTTCTGAAGTTCTGCCTGCGGCTATGGACCTCTGACCTGTTCACCAGTTGTGCTACCTTCTCCCGGACCTGCTGATTCGATCCTCTCACTTTATTCATAGGTTCCTGCCTTTCTTGGGAGTTTTTCCTAGCCACTGTGCTTCTACATCTGCATTGCTTACTGTTTGGGGTTTTAGGCTGGGTTTCTGTATAAGCACTTTGTGACAACTGTCCATTTCAATCTCTGTCAATTTGGGAACTGGATTGGCTCTCCTATGGTGAAATTCCTTGTCCAATTCAACTGACAGGAGTGGAAATGGAATTGAGTAGAACAATTGGGGTTGATGACATTATAGCAAAAATAAACTGAAATTGCATTCATGAAGTGGCGCCAAAAAAATCTCATTTTCCAAGAGGATTTGTTGATTTATGAATAGGATTTTAGTAGATTTTCTTGAAATTATTGCCATTTTCAGATAAACAGGCAGAGCCGAAGTGAACTGCTGAGTGAGACTACTGTGTTTACCTGGTTCCGTAGGGGTTGTTGCTGAGAGGGCCTGTCTCTGTTAGCGTGGCTCTCTCTCGTGATGGCAGACGCACCCGAGTCCACGTTGACAGACCCCACTGGAGTAGGCTGAGAGAGAGAGACCATTGGAGCAGAAACAACAAAGTAAATATAACACACTCACACACAGACAGACAGACAGACAGAGCGAGACAGCGAGAGAGAGACAGCGAGAGACAGAGAGACAAAAAGGCTCAATTGGAGAGCTGCCCAAAAGTCTGAAGTGTCTTCTTTGAAAAACTAGTTTTACAGTATTGTATGCCTTTCACTTGTGTTTTAAATGTCTATTGTACTTGTGATTTCACGACTTTCCAGCTATGAACGGTACACAAATAAAGTTATTATTATACCAAAACATACAGGACTGAACAGTTAACAAGTCTCTTTCAATAGCCCCTATATGACTATTGTGAGCCTACACTTATGCTATTTAGCATGTGAGCACTAGCTACTCACAATCGGTCTGCCGTCCCAGTCGTAGGTGTAGTCAAAGGTGTAACCTTTTCGCTCAAACAGCTCGGTGAACAGAGTCCTCAAATACTCGTAGTCGGGCTTCTCAAAGAAGTCCAACCGCCGCACGTAGCGCAGGTACGTGGCCATCTCTTCTATAAGGGGTCGACACAGTCAGTCAACATGGTTCAGGCAAAACAAGAGCTCCATCTAGTCATACCTAACAATAGATTGCACCAAGACCGCATGGTTGCATGGAATTGCAGCACCTTATGTAACAAAGTAGAATACATTTTTTGTGGAACACAATTGATCCATACCAACAGATGTACTTGAGAGATAAGGCCATTATCCTCAGAACAGATAAAGGAGGAAAATGTGGTCATTGAGCTTTCAAAGGTCAAGGAAGCATTTGCAAACATTGTCTTGCAAGTGCATACTTTTCCAATCCCTCCCCGATGCGCCTTTCCTTCAAGAATCATCTTCTGCTCACTTGAGCCCATTTCTCAGTACAGCTTGCTCTTGTATATTCTATTGCGATTATTTACTGCCATTTTACTACGTATGCAGTGCAGAGCGTGTGTTTTAGGAAAGGCATGCACTAGTGTCAGGGTCAGGAAGGAAGACTGGCAATACCTGGAAAGCTTTCACAGAGGACCTCGATGGGAGTGTTGCGCTTGGTGTCTCCAATCTTCTGGTATCGCTCTTTCAGGGTGTCAGCCTGTAGGTAGAAGGTACAAATTGAGTTCAAACACACTCTTGCTATCTTTTCTCACTCCTTTCCCCTCCCTTCACCCGAATGTTACATTTTGCCTTCGCTCTTCCTTGCCAGTCTTTCAATCTCCCTCTTTTTTGCTCTTCTGTTTAGTTTAGGCTACCATTCCCTCTTCCCCTCTGTGAATCACTACTAGTAGTGCATCACACTCTCCTAATATCTGGGTTGTGATCATTATTAGAGCACATCGTAGCAAAATGTTATGCAACAGAAAACAAAAATGAGCATTTCTATATTGGACAAATTCAGATAGTGCTATCCATTTTGTGCCTACTGAACACAACCCAGCTGATATCATGCCTAGCTCCCCTACCTTGAGTCCTTGCCATGGCAGACTCCCTCGTAGGAAATACATGAACATGTGGCCCAGGGCTTCCAGGTCATCCCGTCGACTTTGCTCTGAAACAAAAGGGAGGGGTGTCCGCTTTAAGCTGTGACCGACGTTTAACCTACCTACCATACCCTTGTGTTGGGGCTTATGGCTTATGTAGGACTTTCAATGCATTCAGCTCCAAATTAGGAACAAAATAGAACCTTTCTGAATTTGAATGACCTCTGGTTTAGTGACATTAAATGCTATGTATGTACACATATAGCCGCGGGAAGTAGGGGTGCTGAAGGAACCCCTGAAAAATCTGGATAAATATTTTACAAAAGTAGTTCACTGGGCTTTTACTAGTCCTGTTTTAGCAGACCGATATAGCCGTCTGTAGCGCAGCCCAAAAACAATAATGGCGCCGCAATATACAGTATCTCAGTTTATTGCATAAATCGTGCATGCATTGGAGTGCGGTAAAATAATCCAGTTCAGTTTTATGAATTACAGTGTAGGCTAATCCAAGTGTAGGCTATGACACAATGTCAGATCAAAATAGCGGCACGAAGTCTCCAGGTGAACGGTTGAGTTGTCCATATGGTGCTGTCATTCAAGGTGCTTTATTTACCCTGTTCGTAATGAGCACAGGAAGATTGTATTTTGGCTTCTGCTCAGATGAATGAAGCCAGCGGGGAACACATGCAGTTTACAGACATCACCGGCAACAGACCTACCACAGATATTACTTGCAGTGGTGTAGTGCTATTTTTTTTCAGAGGAGGGAGCCGCAAAAAATATGTAAATGACGTCATCATTTCCTCAATCAAGGTTTGTACCGACAGATAATAGCCTATTTAATAGCCTATCATTACAGGGCTATCCAACCCTGTACCTGGAGCGCTACCGTCCTTTAGGGTTTCACTCCAACCCCAGTTGTTACTAACCCCATTCAGCTACTTATTAGAATCAGGTGCACTAGATTAGGGTTGGAATGAAAACCTAAAGGATGGTAGCTCTCCAGGAACAGGGTTGGAGATCCCTGTTATAAAATATGCATAAAATGCATCCTCCAATTGCAACGTCTGCTTATGCCCACATATATTGTCTCAAGAACATTTTATATTTTTTATATCCTCAAACACCAAGTTAGGCATACCTATAGGCCATCATCACTGTCAATCATGAATGATAATTATTAATGTTTTACCGGTGAAACTGCAACAGAGCACACATGTAGCCTACAGTTGTTCATCATTCGCCAGAGAGAAGACAAGGCTGAAACCACAATTGACCTACCTCTAGGCTGCTGTAGCCTACATATGTATTTGGTTTGTAATTGTATCGTGTTTTAATTGACTTTTTGTGGTGATTAAATATTATTTATTTAGAATTGCTCTGAATAAATGTTCAGTGTATTCTCAAGTAGAAAAAAGTGAGTTCCCTCAGGCTCCCCCAGCACTACTCACCTGCTTCCTTGTGAAGTGAAGGCAGCTGCACCGCGCTATTTCATAAATAAAAATATTTTTGGGGAGGGAAATTCATTGTTTCGTCACACCACCCCCCCCCCCCCCCCCCCACACCCCCCCACCCCCCCCGGAAAAAATGTGCAGCACCCCCAAACGACTTCCCCGGCTATGTGTACACAAATTCTCAAAGGCAATGCCCTTCAAATTGTAGAGTTCAGCCAATCAAACATGAGAGAATAGCCTATACTGTATCCATGCAAGTACCACTCAGGGAAGTTGAGACAAGTTTAGTTGTCTGGTAGAGGGGAGAAGTACTGTAGCCCTACCTTTTCCCAAGTGGGTGTTGATAGACATGTAGCGGGCGGTCCCTGTGAGACTCTTGTGCTCCCTGTAGGGAATGTGTTTTTTGGTCTCTGGGTCGATGTACTCTTTAGCCAGGCCAAAGTCGATGATGTGGATGATGTGCTCCTGCTTGTGCCCCTGCCGCCCGATGAGGAAGTTCTCGGGCTTCACGTCTCGGTAGATGAGGTTCTTGGAGTGGACGTATTCCATCCGGGAGAGCTGAGGAACGGAGAGTGTGTGACGGTCAAACGCATGCACTCAAAAAAGATGTACACACAACTCCACGCACACCAAAAAACTATCATTAAAACACGAGTGGACACACTGGGACGTACAATCAGAACAGATACATGGGCATAATTCACGACAACAAGCTTTTGTCATTTGGATGCAAACTTTACTTACCAGCTGAATAGCCATCATTAAGACTGTCTTGAGAGAGAAGGTCCTGTCACAGAGGTCAAAGAGGTCTTCTAGACTGGGGCCAAGCAACTCTAACACCATGGCATTGTATTTCCCACAGGGCCCAAAGTAGAAGACCTGAGGAAGACCCTCTGCTGAGATAGAAAGAGAGAAGGATGGATAGAGAGGGAGAGAGGGATGGATAGAGAGGGAAAAATATATATAGAAAGAAGTCCATTTAAACTGAAATTGAAAAGACTATCAAGTAGATCAAATCATATGATAAACATAATTTGGAGTTTGGATTATGCAGGGTGTTTTTTCTTTAGAATATGCGTGAGGGCGTGGCAGCGCAGTTTTACATGCCCATTTAACTGCTCTACCTGTGAGAACACATACCTGGGTATTGTTTTATCACTAGCCATTTTGGAACTAGTTTGTCCTTCAGTCACATGCAGGACTTGAGACGAGCAGTAGTTATGCTATACACAACACTCCACAAGTGGCATCTAAAGATGGCCCAAGCTGTTAGGTTGGGGTTTGTCATGAGTGTTGTTCTGAATTGTTTGTTGCAGCTGTTGTAGGCCATCTGCTGTGCCCATCTCAGGAGGGAACAGAGAGGAATGGTGCCCAGAGGAACCTGGGCAAACTGATAACGAGGGTCATGAAACCCACAACTAGAACCGCCCCTATTTTCCGTAGCCAAGTAGCCATTAGCACAAAACTACAACAGTGATGGGATTGGAAAAAATATCCAGAATTATCTCTGCTGCGTTTAATAACAGAGGGAAGGATACATTTTGGGAATTTTAGAGTGGCTCAATCCGTTGGTATTGCAACCTGCTCCGTATTCAGCTCCAATAACATCCCCGGTGTGAGGTTTCTTGTATGAGCTGAGCTCAGCGAGAAAGTGAGCTTTTTTCCCCCTCTCAAAGAGTGCTCTGGACGAGTACAGCGGATGAGTTTGTGCGTTTATCAGCAGTACAGGAGTGAGAGTGGATTTCAGATATTTTTTCCTGACTGAGCATATTTTAGTCACAAATTGTTGTGTATAGGCAAAATGTTACTTAAATGTTACTTAAAAGAGTGCTTCAGAGAATATATTGAAATTCAAACAGCAGAAAAATAAATGATGCATTGTATTGGACAATAGAGGCTAACTACAGAGGTTGAGAGCTCCAAAACGATCCCATAGCAAACTCCCATCTGTACAGCAAAACAACGTTATTCTGGAGTAGTGCAGCAGTATCCTAGACATTATTGGGGCTCCGGGAATGATACAGTTGTCCGGTGCATCAGTGAGAGCGTGCAAGTGAAAGACAGTAATGCCAAAGTTATCTTTTACAATGATCTGAACAATGGGGCTTTTATTCCCAGCACCATAAACAAGACAAGAGAGACAGCATGGTGGAGTAACCTAAGAGTTAATAATATTCCCCTTTAGAGAAAGAAAGCGAGAAAGAAGATGAGCCAAGGAAAAAACTGTTGTAGAAAGTGTGTGTCTCTATGACCAGAAGGGCCCAGGCAAGCAGCAGCGGAGTAGGTCAACAATTGGCCAAGGTGTACAAGCTTGGTGGCTCATAAACAGAATCATGTGACAGAGATAAGTGAGCAAGCAGAATGTGGGAGTGGGCAGGTGTTTCCAAGCTTGATGGAGGGAGGAAGCGAGCCAGAGAAATACGAGCTCCTGAGAAAAACACCCGCTCTGTGTCATCTGTGGGAAAGAACAACGTCACAATAGCAAATGGCACATGTTGTCATGTCTTCTATATGCTGCCTAACTGTCGAGGCATTACAGGAGTTCCACTATACAAGCTATTATCACAAATGTGATTTTACCTTACCCTTTTACCTTACCCCTTCCGCTCCCTAAACCAATTCGTATTTGAACCATGTTTTTACCACGTTTCGGAATGATGAAAATGGCAACCGTCTCAGATCCCATTAAATTTAAGCAGAAGCGGGATAAAAACCTGTTAAGGCCATGAGAGTGCATCTTTTGAAATGCTTTGGGAAAAAATGAATTCAGTCACACAGGAGCAAATGTCGGCTTCTCCTGAGACACGCAACCAAACAAACAATTAATCCACCCCCACATTCAAAGAACAGTCAGGCCTGAGTCACCTAGCTAGTCATCAATAATGGCAGCTCTGTCTGTATGCATCTCATGTAACTTATACCTGAATAAAAACTCAATTTAGCTCTCCAGCAAAGGTACGCACATAAAACATACTCTAAACCCATACAGAAAATAGGCCACTTTGTGTAGAGTATGTTTTATGTGCGTACCTTTGCTGGAGAGCTAAATTGAGTTTTTATTCAGGTATAAGTTACATGAGATGCATACAGACAGAGCTGCCATTATTGATGACTAGCTAGGTGACTCAGGCCTGACTGTTCTTTGAGTGTGGGGGTGGATTAATGGTTTGTTTGGTTGCGTGTCTCAGGAGAAGCCGACATTTGCTCCTGTGTGACTGAATTCATTTTTTCCCAAAGCATTTCAAAAGATGCACTCTCATGGCCTACACTGTTCCAAAACGACAACACATGCATGTCAGAGATATGGAATCTCTCGTGGCTTGAGAACATGTTCATATTTCTAATTCCAAATAGACCTCTCAAGGTAACCATTCCATTTCAGTTTCATCCACATGACAAAACATGGCAACAGTAAACATGTCATCCACCACGAATGATGCAGCGCCCCTCCTTGGGCCAATTGAGATATCGTGTATGACTAACAAATTTCAGTTAATTACTATAGCTCCCGCCTTGGGACAATCAGTGTAATTTTGTAAATGACGGATCTCTATGGCAAGACACATAATTCACCCAAGTCCCATTGTTAGGGCGGAGACATGAGCATCTCGTCATTACATGTATATACAGATATCTGGTTTCAGTCACTTGCGATTTGGAAAGGAAAGTTGGCAGGTGCACAGTTCGGATGCTGGCTTCCCCTAAAGTAAATAGATGTTTTGCCAAAATTATATAATTACTCATGTCTAAATAAAATCATTCAAAATACTTCACCAGAGAGGATATTATTATTATTATTATTATTATTATTATTATTATATTATTAGGATGACTTAGCCACAGAGGATCATTAGCTTCTTCATTATGGCAGAGGCTGGTGCTCTCGCATTAGTTTAATTTTAACTTTTAGATTTATCATGTAAATTCGGATCTTTTTGATTAACCATGTGATGATGATTTTGAGAAACGAAAACATTATTATTGAATTGAAACTTTTCCACAAAAATGTGCATATAAAAATATTCATAAATGACACGCAGATAGGTAGAAATGGTAGGATAAATTGTAAGCTCCCCAAACTTGAAACTCACGAGCTGCCTATGGTCTTTACTATAACACCCACTTATATAACGCGCAAGTGGGTACACACATAGGAGGTCCTGTGAAAAAAACGTGCACACTTATAGAAATCAAATGCGTGTCAAACTGATTCCTTCTGGCGCCGGCCCTTGTCTCATTCACTAGGCCTAATTTAGCTCTCCCTACCACTAGTGTCTCCGTTTTCGAGTGCCTCTCCCCTACTGAGGGGGAAGGCTGGGGTGGGGTCTAGGATTGAACCTAGACAGAGGAAGAGGCTAAACGAGAGGGATAACTGGGCCCAAAATCAGCTTTCTCCAGCAGGTGGCTTTAAAAATAAAAAATTAAGCGAGGTCAATGAGTGTCAAATTTGGTTAACATAATATAATATAAATATAATATGCCATTTAGCAGACGCTTTTATCCAAAGCGACTTACAGTCGTGCGTGCATACATTTTTGTGTATGGGTGGTCCCGGGGATCGAACCCACTACCTTGGCGTTACAAGCGCCGTGCTCTACCAGCTGAGCTACAGAGGACCACAGGTATAAGTTAACAAAAAATGTAATGGCTTATCTGCTACGTGTGGCTTGTTTGATCGAATCAAATGTTTGTAATGATTGGGTTGTTACGAGTGTACTAATATGTCGGACACGTGACACCCTGGCAACTTTGAGAAAAAAACACACATATACACATAATATATATATATATATATATATATATATATATATATATATATATATATATATAGGAGTTGTGCCTGGTCATCACTAGTTACCACAGCCACAAAGTAATAAACCCCGCCTATTTCTAAAATGTATCTTAAATCTGCTAAACCCTGTGTCAACCAACTGGTTGAGTCCTCTCAGCCATGATCATAACCAGATGGCATGGTGGTTGGCACACCATGGACCCTTTCCACTGACTACTCATCATCTCATAATGAAAGGCCTTTGAGCTGAGCCAACATACGATTGTGACTGTCTGTAGTGACGGATATATTTTCAGAATTATTTTGTTACATGGACCACCTAAAGTAGTAAGAAACAGTGAACAAATGTCACAAGCATCTTAAATTACTGTGCTCTGTTGAGGCTGAAATGAAAGGCACTATGAGTATGAAACATCAAACACAAGTCATTAAAAGCGGGAAAGGTGCCTTGGGTCGTGCCTGTGAGGCTGATATTTATGCCACTCCGCCCATTCTTTCCCATCAGCCAATCAAATTAAAATTGCAGATGGAGGGACAGCAATAATCATTTTTAAATATTTCATGTGGTGGTGCCTAACTGATGCAGCTTTAAAAAAGCAGATTGCATCCAAAAACACTGAAATATAAAAATACTATTTCCAATTTATACAGGCTGATATACACTGAGTGTACAAAACATTAGGAACACCTTCCTAATATTGAGTTGCACCCCCTTTTGCCATCAGAACAGCCACAATTCGTCGGGGCATGGACTCCACAAGGTGTCGAAAGCGTTTCACAGGGACGCTGGCACATGCTTTCCACAGTTGTTTCAAGTTGGCTGGATGTTCTTTGGGTGGTGGACCATTCTTGGTACACAAGGGAAACTGTTGATCGTGAAAAACCCAGCAGTGTTGCAGTTCTTGACACACTAAAACCGGTGTGCCTGGCACCTACCATACCCCATTCAAAGGCACTTACATATTCTGTCTTGCCCATTCACCCTCTGAATGCCACACATACACAATCCATGTCTCAATTGTCTCAAGGCTTAAAAGTCCTTGTTTAACCGGTCTTCTCCCCTTCATCTACACTGATTGAAGTGGATTTAACAGAACACATCAA